ACCTTCCTCTGCAGCATGGGGCAGGGATCGCTAGCTGGAGGATTCTCTGCCAATTGAAGTCTCTAAGCCACAGGATTTGGGGACTTCAACAGTGGAGTCAAGGGAAAGGGTAGGGACGGCTTTGTGGCCTGCATCATGCAGGGGGTCAGACCAGATGATCATAATGGTCCCTTCTGACCTTAAAGTCTATGAGTCTATAAGATGGCTCGGTACCGAGCATGCTGGAGTGATGTCGGTACTGGGAAGAGGAGATTCTGGTGTAGAGACCAGGAGATCCTTGTGTCAAAGGAATTGCTGAGGTACCAAGAGCATCGGTACCTATGAAGGCTTTAGTGGTGGTACTGATATCTGGGGTGCAGTTGTGGTGCAGTGCTGAGGATCACGCTCTGTGCGCCGTGGAGGCAGAAGCTTCTAGTGCTCTCAAACTGCTCAGCGCCGAGTGCCTCATCAGCTCTGATGGTACTGAGGCAGAGGGTTTTGCTTTCCCTTTGCTGCCCTTGTCCGAATTAGCCCACTTAGGGTCTTTTGCTGGTGCGGTACCCACAGTACCGCATGGTCCCACTATCTCGGAGGTGGAAGGCCCAGTATAGTTGGGTACCGATGGGGTCTGCCGAGTTGGAGAATGCAGTTTCTTGGTGGATTTCTGAGGAGGGGAAGCTGAAGCCTGCTTTTTTAGTCACCTTCTTGGCAGAGCACTCTTTTGCCTGAACATGTGAAGGGGAGCCTCTGTCTTGGCCCATTCTGTTTAAACCTGAAAGCTTTGATTAGAGCAAAATTTTGTGGCAGGGTAAAATAGGTGAATTCTGTTGCTGCAGAATATATAGGGTACTGCTTATAATGACTGCTGTTTTCACCTACACTTGCCCCACTACTAGCATCAAAGTCACTTCCTGTTTTGTAATGTACTTTTCAGATACTATAACCTGAGCATGAAAGGCAGTATTATAAAACCAAAATCTATTTCCAGTGTGATTAGAGACATGCAGATAATAAATAGTATATTTTATAAAACATTCTATTTGCAAGCACATCTGCATAGCCTAGTTCTCTAGACCTTTGCGTGTGGCATCAGGGTGGTTGCTTTGGAAAATCTAAGAACTTCACTTGGGGATGTCCGTATCAGGAGTAATAAGCACTTCTTCAGAGAGACAGATTCTGTTTTCATGCAATTGTCTCTAGTCAAAGAATGAGGGACAAAAATACTGAAAACATACATTACAGAAGCAAAACTGCCTCTAAATGGAGTTGGTCAAAGTTCTCATGAGGTATTTAAAAACACTCACACACATCAACAAAAAGCCAATAATTTAAATTCAATTCAGTCTCACAAGGGTACAAAATCGGTATGAGCAAACACAGACCTTATTGTTAGGCCTCCAGAGAATTCTTCATCGAACAACACTTCAAAGAGTACATCCATTTCTCTGCTTGCTGTAAAAATAATGACATGCACCGTCAGAAAGTAGCCTACTTGCCTGTCTACCATTAATTGCACATAGTGGTAATGAAGATGACATAAAACGAAATTATTATTAGAGTGACATCTTAAATATTCCTATGCCCCATATATAAAATTTCATTCAGTTATTTGGAAACTCCTCAAAAAAGGTCATGTGTGATTGTCCTCTAGGATATGCATAAACTGTAAATCTACTATAAGTAACTATAAGTAGCAGTGATCTATAGTTATAATTTTGATAGCAGTCCCTAATAGTCTGTTATTTTCCCAATACACAACTGTACTTTCCTTTGGGTATTTAATGATCAAAAGAGGAAACATTCTTTCCTCTAAATAGCTAACCCTATATATCGGGCCTACCTGATTTTATTTTTGTTGCACATTTTTTTAAACACAGAATATGTAGTTTGTTCTCTGTACAATGATGGTATGGGCAATGGCACAGAAGCTTTATGGATATAAAACTATCTGGAAAGAGACACAGTGGGTGAATCCATACATCCAGGCAACCAGAGACCAACAGTTTTGAAACTGGCTCTCAGCAGAGGATATCACTTGTATATACTCACTAAACAGAGGATATACTGATTTATAATTTAATTATAATTTCATTATAGTGACTATTAAAGTGCCAGACTAGAGAAATATCTACCCCACTTTCTCAAACTTTTTCATGTAGTGACTGCCTGCATAGGTGAGTCCTTTCATCCAGATCCCTCAAAAGAGGTGCCAAAGATATATAGCAGTGGTTTTCAACCTGGTGGTCCACAGACTGTCTTATATTTCCTAAGGGGTCCACATCTCCAAGCAAAATTTTTTAAGGACCTGCAAATGAAAAAAGGTTGAAAACCACTGGTTTATAGGGATTCTGGTATCTGAGGAAGAATGGTTGCAAGTAATACAGTAGGTCACTGAAGAGAAGCCTAGATCGAAACCACAGGTTGAGAACGTATGCTCTACTTTAAGGTGAGTAATATTTACTCCTGGGGGAATTCTGCACGACCGCACATGCATAAAATTTATGTCCCCTGCAGATTTCTTTGCTTCCCTGCAGAAATATGACTTTCTGATGGAGAAGCAAAGGGAAGCCACAAGAACAGTCTTGCGACCCTCCCCAGCAGTATGTTTCAGGTGCCCAGGGCTGCTGGCAGAGAGGTAAATCACTGTGGAGCAGGGGGTGGGACTGGGGAAGACCTGGCGGGTGGCTCCTCCCCTGCACCAGGCTCAGCTGCTAGTCCCAGCTGGGCTGGGGAGGACGGGACTTCCTCTTCCGCTGCATGGCACCCGGGAACGTGTCAGACCCACCCCCAGATTTATCCTCCAGCTGTACGAAGCTCTGCAAACTGCATCCATCGCTTCCTGCACCCATCTCTCCTTAGCTGCACGGGGAGGGATCACTGTACAGGGAGCTGCTCCCCCATCCACCCAACCCGTGCATCCAGACCCCCTCATACTCAGACCTTCCAGCCAAGCCTCACCCCCTCCCACCCAGAACTTCCCCTCCACCCACCCAATGAGCCCCACGTCCCCTGCCCCCTGGACCACCCCAACAAGCCACCTGCACCCGGATCCCCACCATACTGAGGCCCACCCAGCTGCACCTGGATCCCCACCCCACTGAGCCCAACTCCCCCAGCATCTGGACCCCCGCACTGAGCTCCCCTGCCGAGCCCTATCCTCTCCACACCCAGACTCTCTCCTCCCCCACCCCCAAGCCCCAACCACCTTCACCTGGACCCCCTGGCAGAGTCCCATTATTGTTGCACTCAGAACCTCCCCAACAAGCCCCTGTGCATCCAGATCCCCCCACACCCAGATCTCCAACTGAGCTGCCCATACCCAGATTGCCCCACACAGAATCCTCTCAACCCACAGCTGGACCCCCCACACTAAGCCCCTCCACACTTGGATCCTGCCTTGCTGAGCCTGCCTGGCCACACCTGGTGCACCTGGCACAGAGGGGCAGGGCCCTGGGGTGTTTCTGGTGAAGGCCCAGTCCTTGTGCTGTGTCAGGGTTGGGTGTAGCCTCACCGTCGAATCCATGTCCCGGTGGAGGAGCTGCATAGTGATCTCCCACCTCTGTGCAGCCAGTGGCCTGTGTTCCCCAATGCCAGGCTGGAGCTTCCATATTTATTTTACAAATAAAATTTGCAGAATTTTTTATTTTTTGGCGCACAATGCCTATAGGAGTAAATATTTAGTGGAACCTTATGTATAATAAAAACATTCAGACCACCACTATTGTGTCCCTCTGTTTTACTGTCTCTCTCTCCAATTTTGTCTCTTCTCCTATATGCCTTCCCCTCTTTTCCGGTATGTGTTCCTTCTCATTGGCTTTACTGCCTGTCCTTTATTAAGGCCAAAGACTAAGTTGTTCTACATTCAAGGGTAGGGCTACTTAACACATGAAGTGACTGATAGATGAAACTACATTTTAAGCATTCACTGTAGGGCTTGTCTACACATGGATTAGGCCAGAATTAACTCTGTGCGAACATGCTTATTCCAGAATTAAGAGTGTCCAGATATGGAGCTATTTCGAAATAACTATTCTGCTTCAAATTCACATTTTACCTTATTCTGGAATAACTTGTGTAGACAAGTTCCTAGATATGTTACTAGGAGCTTTAAGTTGGATGTGCTGCTTAACTGGAGAATTTTAACTGAACTCTCTCACACTGCTAGAAAGTCTCCTCTCTAGAAATTCAAATTCTTTTTTAATTGACGTTTTCTATCACTTTGTCAGAAACTTTGGAGTATAAGCAAATTCTGTCAGTTTTCTTCCTCACTTGTTACAACCAGAGCCAAAATACATGTGGGAAAGGCTGGACAAACTTGTTACACTTTCTCTAATCCCTCCCTCCCATTCAGCCAGTTAGACTGGATTCTTGAGAAACCAGAAGAGTTGTGTACTTATTTTAGATTACAAAACACACATGAAGAACAGTACATGCCATTAGGAGTTTATAAAGCACTATGCACTCTAATGGAGCTATATTATTCACAAATAGCACTCTCTAAATTCTCCACTCTATCTGACGCAAACTTTTTTGTTCCAAATGGATTTTATCTGTTCCATCATTTTATCTTTATTCCTCCACAAGACTTTATTAGATGTGAGAAGAGTCAACAAAATATTAATCTCAGTTTCTACATAATCCCTTCAGCTTCACTGGGTAGAGGACCAAATGTAACTGGAGACAACTTTCTCATGCTCTTGAAAATTCAAGAAACCATCCTCCTAAGCCGCTGCCTGCTCCCCCCACCCCAAGAAAAACCAAACCCAAATGCATACCTCTCTCATTTTCTTGAGAGCATTCCAACATCATGCTCAAATGACAGCATATGACATCTAAACCAAACAACGTTACTGACTAGGGCTATCGATTAACTGCAGTTAACTCACACAATTCAAAAAAATTAATTGTGATTTAAAAAATTAATTGTGATTAATTGCAGTTTTAAACACGCTGTTAAACAATAGAATACCAATTGAAATTTATTAAATATTTTGGATGTTTTTCTACATTTTCATATAGTATTCATATAGTGTTGTAATTGAAATCAAAGTGTATATTATTTTTTATTACAAATATTTGCACTGTAAAAATTATTTAAAAAATTGTATTTTTCAATTCACTTCATACAAAAACAGAACAATGTAAAACTTCAGAACCTACAAGTCCACTCAGTCCTACTTATTCAGCCAGTCACTAAGACAAACAAGTTTGTTTACATTTACGGGAGATAATGCTGCCCACTTCTTATTTACAATGTCACCAAAAAGTGAAGAGAGTCATTTGCATGGCACTTTTGTAGCCAGCATTGCAAGGTATTTACGTGCCAGATATGCTAAACATTCATAGGCCCATGCATGCTTCGGCCACCATTCCAGAGGACATTTCCATGCTGATGCCGCTCGTTAAAAAAATAATGCTTTAATTACATCTGTGACTGAACTCCTTGGAGGAAAATTGTATGTCCCCTGCTCTGTTTTACCCGCATTCTGCCATATATTTCATGTTATAGCAGTCTTGGATGATGACCCAGCACATGTTGTTCATTTTAAGAACACTTTCACTGCAGATTGCACAAAACGCAAAGAAGGTACCAATGTGAGATTTCTAAAGATAGTTTCAGCACTCGACCCAGGGTTTAAGCACCTGAAGTGCCTTCCAAAATGTGAGAGGGATGAGGTGTGGAGCATGCGTTCAGAAGTCTTAAAAGAGAAACACTCTGATGAGGAAACTACAGAACTCAAACCAACGAAAAAGAAAATCAACCTTCTGCAGTTGGCATCTGACTCAGATAACGGAAATTAACATGCGTCGATCCACACTGCTTCAGACAGTTATTGAGCAGAACCCGTCATCAGCATGGACGCATGTCCCCTGGAATGGTGGTTGAAACATGAAGAGACATATGAATCTTTAGCGCATCTGGCACATCAATATCTTGCAATGCTGGCTACAACTGTCCAATGAGAACGCCTGTTCTCACTTTCAGGTGACATTGTAAACAAGAAGCGGGTAGCATTATCTTCTGCAAATGTAAACAAACTTGTTTGTCTGAGCTGAGTGATTGGCTGAACAATAAGTAGGACTGAGTGGACTTCTAGGCTCTAAAATTTTACATTGTTTTATTTTTGAATGAAGGTTTTTTTTAACATAAATCTACATTTTTAAGTTCAACTTTCATGATAAAGCAATTGCACTACAGTACTTGTATAAAGTTAATTGAAAAATACTATTTCTTTTGTTTTTATACAGTGCAAATACTTGTAATCAAAAATAAATATAAAGTGAGCACTGTACACTTTGTATTCTGTTTTGTAATTGAAATAAATATATTTGAAAATGTAGAAAACACCCAAAAATATTTAAATAAATGGTATTCTATGATACAGTGCAATTAATCGCGACTATTTTTTTAATCGCTTGTCAGCCCCTATTACTGACCCTTTGGTCACATGAAAGTTACCAAACAACTGATCCTGCTCTAATGGGGGAAGACCACAATATTCAGATCCTGAATCCAAATACCTGAATATAATCCTAGAGTAGCTTCTTCCTTACCTCCCACTGCAACAAGCTTTAGGGTCCCCACAACCATGAACTCTCTTCTTGGGGGGTGGGGACAGAGACTTTCAACCCTGGATCCAATGGCCACCTTCCAATCCTCCCCCTCGTCTCTCCACATTTTGCAGCAATAGTGCAGAAAAGACTTCTGCACTTGCTGTTACACTGAGCCTGAGAACCCACAGATGGCACAGTAAGTGGAACGACCGCATGGTACATTACAAACCAAATTTCTATTTTTTAATTGTGCCTCATCTCCAATCTGACTCTTTATTAATACTGTTCACAATTAAATGAAAAAGAATAAAAGCTGACAGCAGTTTGTTTTCATGACAACCTTATAGCTAAAATATGATCATTATTATGAGGAAAATATTACCTCCTTTAAGTCCTATAATGGTACCTCGAAGACCAACTGGAACAGAAAAGTTCTCTCTCACATTGACAACACGATCAAACAGTCGATACTCTGCATCTCTGTCTGGAACAACCCCATTCTGTTGTTCTAAAGGCTGACATTAACCAAAAGACTATATTAATTCTAGTAAAATATAAAGATATAAGTTATTCTGATTTTAATAACAAATGAATCATGGATTTAAAACTTAAAGAAGTTGAAATGATTACATTGTTTTCAGGACACAGAAAACAATTTGAACTGTTCTCTCAACAACCAAGTAGAGAGTTACAATTCTCAGAAAACATCCTTTTATTAATAATATTGCTAACTAGGAAGCTGCAGTGCTACTCAGTGCTACTGAATGAGCCCATGGAGTTGAGGGAAGGCACAATCAGAAATAATGTTCAGCTTCTCTTGTGCCACCAGCTGTGAGATACCCAGCAAAGCAGCCTAGAGCATACAGGTGCCATGAAAAGAGCAAAACAGGCAAAGGGCAGCATTTCTGAAGCATTTAATATTCTTTTTACATCTATTACAATTATGGAGGGAATGAAAGTTGTAGAATCAGCAAACAGACAGAAGAAGGCAAAAGACATATGCTACCAAACCACATGAGAGTCAATAATTGAATTTCTGTCCCATTTATGCAGCAGTCATTGTTATTAAGTAACTCCACACTGAAACTGATTTTCTAGGAGACACCTTAATTAATCCTGTCCCAACTAAATGAAGTGCCCTATAATAATTTTTGAAAGTTCATGAAGTTTGTACTGGTTATATTTATTTTACATATGTTTAATTTTATTATAAAAACTAACAGCCCTCAAATGACTTACTCTATACAGCAAATGGGGTTTCACCGTCACTCGCACCTTCTTGTTACTCTTTCTTTGCTAAAGGAAAGGGACAAAATAATTTTAAAAACAATTAAGTCTGAAAAATTATGCCATTGTTTTGCAATGTCTTAGATAAAAAATGCCCACTATCACTCTGAAGTGAAAACATACGGGATTTTTTTTTATTTTTTTGGATATGTTGAGGAAGCAAGCAGAACAGGGATCAGAATACAGTAGGACTTCGGAAGAAAATATACGTATATGTGCTCCATGAAAATGTACTGCAGGCATTCTTCCGGTATTAAAGGAGGAGACACAGTTCTCAAGACTTTGAATCATGCCAAAACACTGTATTTAAAAAATACTTTCAAGTAACTGGATCTATGACAGGGGTAGGCAACCTATGGCACGGGTGCCGAAGGCAGCACACGAGCTGATTTTCAGTGGCACTCACATTGCCCGGGACCTGGCCACCGGTCCAGGGGGCTCTGCATTTTAATTTAATTTTAAATGAAGCTTCTTAAACATTTTAAAAACCTTATTTACTTTACATACAACAATAGTTTTGTTATATATTATAGACTTATAGAAAGAGACCGTCTAAAAATGTTAAAATGTATTACTGGCATGCGAAACCTTAAATTAGAGTGAATAAATGAAGACTCGGCACACCACTTCTGAAAGGTTGCCGACCCCTGATCTAAGAAGTCAGGTTAGTCTTTTTAAACCATGGCTTAAATTATTTAACCAATCCCAAAACAAACCCAAAGTTAATTATCACTTTTGCTTCTGGATCCTTCTACACAATCTGGAAGAATATCAACCACTTGTCTCATGGGGATTTGCTACACATCATGGGACTTAATAACCCATTTAACACTTAATACTTCCTTGCCTATTTTTGTTTTAATTTTCTCTTTTACTTGAATAGATCTGATGAGAAAGACCTGTGAGGCTGGAGGAGACTGCCTCCTAGTTATCTGCGGATCAAAGGGAAACTATTTGGGAAACAGAATGGAAGATTGGATTTGTGTTTGGAAGACATTGTGAGGAGTCCAGGACCTCTTTGGACACAGATTCTTTTCCCAAAATCATTCACAGTCAGGGCAGCTCAGAGTAAATCTGACTTAACTAACTAGAGAGAAAAGAACCAAAGAGTAGACAGACTGCTGAGGCCCTTTTCTGAGTTGCTATGACAATTTATGATGCAATTTAGTAGATTACAGTTCTTCCAATAGTCTCTGTAGTATTTGCCATGCCACAGAAAAACCATTTTCTGTAATCTGAATAAAGTACTTGGACAATAAAAACAACTGCTTTTTGGTCCATCACTAGTCAAATCTATAAAAATTCAGTACCTTGCACTTCTCTAATTCTTCTTCAATTTTCTCTACAATAGCTGCATCCAGAATTTGTAAGTCACAAGATGAACGAGATAAAGCGCTGACAGGATGCGCCTTTAGCCAGGCAACAATTTCTTGAACTCTCTCAGCACTATATAAAAAAAATTCCATATTGATTATAATTGTTGAGGGCTTATATATTATTGTGGACTATATGCAGTTTCTGGATTTATAATGTCACCAGATACTACAGTAGTAGGCACATCTTATAACTGGATATAGTCATAACAAACACTGCTATGTGGTGCTCCAAGAGTTTAGTATAGGGACAAAAAAATTAACCATGATAGAATGAAGCTTCAAAAGTATAAACTAAAATGCAGACTCTTGAAATTCTACCTTGCAGACTAAAAATCTGGATTTTCAAATAAAAATCATTAAAAACACCCCATGAAGATTATTTTAAAATCAAAAATTAAAAACCATGGAGAACTAAACTACAAATATGAGGTATAGGTGTGATAAATAGCTGGCTCTAGAAATGACATATGTAATATCCTGATAATTGTCAAAATCATCCTTTAATGAGTCTGGTCCTGAAGAAAAAGACAGGTTTCAGTTACTTAAAAAGGCCACCATTATGTGGTGGCAGCCATTTTCAGTACTGTCAAATTCCTCTTGCCACCAGTTTCCTGTCTACCAATCTTCAGGTTGGGCAGTTTTCCTGCCTGCAGATATTTCAGTACTTGAAGAATTTCTGCACATTTTTATTACAGCAAAATTTCTAGTCTAGTATTTGGACTGGATGATTCCAAACATACTGAAATAATTGTACCCTTCTTTGCTTTGCGATTTCAGCAGTTTTTGAATGTACAGAGGTCAATATCTGGAACTTGTCATATAGAATACTATTTAATCAAAATGAAAAAACATTGCTCACCCATTCTCGTCCTCCCCAGGCCAAATATCATCTTCATAGAATATATCTTCTTGGCTATTTTTGGCAATATAACTAAACAGTTCAGGGACCCTAATAATAAAAGGGATATAGTTTCACATACAGCACAGTCAAAAACAAGTGCTTAATAGACACAAAATAATCTGGAATCCAGGGTGCAGTAGCTTTTCATAAATGTACAGAGTTTTATTGGCCAAATAGGCAGTGCAATATGCTGACTAAAGATGCAAAATCAGAGTTCTGTCCAAGATCATCTCTTGCTAGGACTCAGAACACACTAGAAGTAAAATGAGCCATTCCCTTTCTCTAAGTCCACCCAACTCCATCATGCAACCTCAGAAGCAGTACTGATGGGTTCCATAAAGGCCTGTGTCCTGTCCTCTTTGGTTAAAAGGCTGGATCTCTATGACATGGGAATAAAGAAGAAATTGGAAGATCCCACATGCTCCATCCCCCTCTCCATAAAATAAACTTAAGTTATAGAGACAGACTGTTGCTGAGGGATTCTAATGATGACAAGTTACTGGAGAGGAACTTGGATGGATTGGGATGTCACCAAAGCCCCACATGTTAGCTTAACATTTTGCTTTTTAGGCTGTTTATTTTTTTCCATTTATGCAGTCATTTTTACATAATTGTAGTCAGCCTCTAGCCGTTACTAAGGGGCTAGACAATGACTAAGTGATCTTTCATTGTGAATATAAATCCGTGAGATATCATGTGTACTACATGCTGAATGACAACAGCACTGGTCTAGAAATGAAAGTTTAATTCGTCTCCTCCACAAGATTGCTTCCACACACTAGCCTCCTTCATTTTAGTTTTTAATTCCTCATCAATCAGGAGAGACTACAATGGGATATAAACTGATTTCAAAGTGGTTCCAGAAGGTAATATAGATAGTACAATAAAACTGGATTTCCTATGCAGTGTAACTATTATAATATGAGGTGTTTTCAAATTCCAACACACTGGAGCAGTATGTGTTTATTTCAATATTCTATGCAACAAAATGAAATAATTTAGACACCTCCTACACGCAGAATGTCTTATTACAGTTGTCACCATCTGATTTTGAAACACAGATCATGAATTATAGCCATCACTTCTCTTCAAATAGAAAGTGTTCCAAAGTAACTTCTAAATGTAAGAAAACTAGTGTGTGTCTACACAGCAAAGAAAAAGCCATGATTGGGTACAGATTGTACATTGAAGATATGAAGAAAATATCATTTCTTTCCATTTATTTAATCTTAGCTTTAAGAATCTTCCATGACATTCTTAATAATGTTGCTGAGTTTGTTCCTTTGCTATTTCATGTTAAATTATAGTCCGTTTTAAGTCTAAAAGTCAGAAACACCTCAAAATACTTCATTTGATGCACTTATTTCTCATCAAACCAGGATTTGGGTTACCCTACCTCCAGTCCCAGAGTCATCAATAATAAACTTTTGCACAGTGAATAAAACCCATTTACAATTTCAGTACAATAATTTCAGAAATATGACGTTATTATTCAACTCTTACCTTTCTAAATACTCAGCAAGAAGTTGCTCCACTGCAGAAGAATACATCCATTCATTTCTAACCTTCTTAGTATAGCCAGGGACCTCTTCATTCTTCTTATTAAACTTCAGATTCAAGCCCACATTTGCCTTGTGGTCTCCATGTGGACTGCAAAACAAAAAATTACGTTTTGTAAAGGAAAAACTACTGACATCTGACTTGAGCCTCAGAAAAGTTGTTTCTGATAACATCTTTATCTGCTAATGAAACTGACCTACTTTGTAAAGCACTTTGAGAATTACTGATGAAAAGTGCTGTATAAGAGTTGGCTATAATCACTCTGTGGGATGTAACAGGAAACAGGTGTTTTGAGTTTTAGGAAAGCATATCATGTGACTTTTGGATTACTATCTTTTTCACAAGTTGTATACAATTGCATATTTTTAACTGTTATTCAATAAATACACAAAATTACAAACAAACAAAGATTGTCAACTTTGTGGCATAGAGTTAGTGCTCTGTACTACAAGAGGGAACTCCAATAGAATCCTAGTTCCACCCTGGTGTCCTCCTCAGCACTACCAAGGGCTGGACACACTTTAGAGGCATTTTGCCTGGCCTGAAGTAGCTCAGGTATCTTGGGTTGGTCAACAGTAATCTTTCTAGCCAATAAAGAACTGTTAACGGGCTTTGAATATAGTCTTCTCAGGGTCTCCTTGCTTTGGAAGGTTGGTTGTAAGGGTGAAATATATTTACATATGAGGGATTTAAAGAAAAATTCTCACCCAAAACTCACTTGACAGAAGTCTTTTATACTAATGCCCCAGTTAAGGGTTATTTTTTAATTGATTTTTCTTAAAATTTTAATAAAGCAATTTCAAATGTACCAGTTCCCAGCTTGGGCCTCATTTTCTGATTGAGGCAGGAAGGGCATCATGACAGCATTGGGCGGCATAAACTCAGAACAACATCCTCTAGAATTATGGTCTCAACCTACTAGCCTCCTAGGTGCTGCTGCAGATTTAACATACTGAAGGTGTCTCCAAGAGAAGAATCAAAAAAAATATATGAAGTATAGGAGTACGTATGATTCAACTGGGATTTTTAATTTAATTTTTCAAATTTTAATCTGATGCAATATTCTACTAATGGTCAATTAGAATATCACTGCAACTAAACAATTTTTTTGGTACTTAGTAAATCTAAGCGATTCTTAGTTTTTTAAAAAAAAAAAAACAACCAGAACAAAGCTCTGATTCAGAAAATTAACAAACTAAGCTTCCGTTAACTGAAGAGTGCATCTTTCTGAAAACATTGCTTATATCAAATACGCTATCAATACAATTTTATATCACAGATCCCATTAGAATTTATGAATACTGAGATGTCAAATAGGATGAAAACATAAGAAAAATCAATATAGTAAATTCTGTTTACAGTGGCTTCCACTTATTAGCAACCCCTTGGCTGCTAGCCAAAAGTTGCTATTATCCAGCAGTTGTTAATAAGTGGAAGGCTTAGCATTCTCCAGCGCTCCTTTCCCTGTGTGCAGTCTCTTGGCAGGGCATAGCCTGGAGAGTGCAAGGAGAGATATCATGCAGTTCCAACACCCAGGATGCAGCCCTCCTCCCAGCTATTGCCTATGGCCTCCCCTCCCAGCCTGCAGCCCCTTATCTCCTTGTATGATCCCATGTGCAGTAAGGTTTGCTAGGGTGCAACTCCTCTCCCCACTACTGCCCAGCCCACAACCTCCCAGCCCACAGCCTCTTACCTCCTATACAGTCCCATGTGCAGACAGGTTTGCTGGGCTGCAGCCCCAGAAGGAAGTGCTGGGACACGATGAGCACCGGCCACAGGTAGGTTTGCGGTGCTGCAGCGAGGGAAGGCATGCCCCAGCCCTTCCATTCCTGGATGCAGCCTCATAAACCTATCTGCAGGGAGTGCTCTGCACATCTCAATACGTACTTCCCTGCCTATAGACTCGCAAGCCTGCCTGCAGGTGGGGCCTTTCTTTAAAAAAAGTTGCTAATAAGAAGCATGCCGGTGCCAATATCCTAATCCTATCAACACTGATGTTAATGGGATGGGATTGGTTCCTGGCAAAATGTTCCCATTAACTGGAAGTTGCTAATATCAGGATTGCTATTAGGCGGAATCTACCATAGCATATAATCTACAATTTTACATGCATAATTGAGAGTTTTGATTACAAAGAAATTTATTACAGTCAAACATACTTTCTCCTGGATCCTCTTCCAATAAATATGCTTCCTGTAAACCTGGAGACAAGATATCCACTCACTCCAAGACGACTGGCTAAAACGTATCCAGGATTGTACTTCACAGAATATTTCTTTAAAAATAAAAATATATTACTATATACTAGGACAGGATAGAGGCAATAAAGTACTATAATTATTTTTAAAAGCCCATTTATTTCCTTTTAAAAATTACCTTCCAACCCTATATATTTCTCTGCTATTCCTGCACTAAGGGTTGGGAGGAGAGGAAAGGAAACCAGCTCCCAGAACTCTGAAGGAGACCCTTCCATTGGTCTGAGGATCCAGAGAGGAGAAGGGCAGGCCCAGAGGAATTTACAAAGTTATTTGGGGCAGGGACTGTGTTGCTAGAGTGTCTAGCTGCAGAATGAGGCAGTGACCTAGATTGGGACCTTGGGGAGCTATTATAAATATTGAGTAATGAAATACAATATAGTCCCTGAGCTCAATGTGTTTGAAAAACACTGAGCTAAACCAAGCGAGAACATCTCGCATCTTGCTCTGAAACTTGTCAGCTCAGGCTCTTACAATCACTAATGGGAATTAGTTCCCAAGGAAAGGATCATCAACTGAAAAAACCCTGCTGTCTTGTCATGAACTGCCTAAATTCAGGGACTAACTGCCAGAGTCACCCAGCTGACCTTAACTGTCATGATGACTAGATCTCCTGAACAGACCAATGTTTTAAATATTGCAGTTTAAGGTGTTAATGGCAACCAGAAATGAAAGTGAAGCCAATGCAATCATTTGAGTAAAAAAGTTACAAGCACATGGTGATCCCCGTTTCTCACTGCCCGGAAATATTGTTTCTGGTCACCAGATGCTGGTACGCATAAAGGAGCAGCACAACTGGCAGCCAGATTCTACTAGAACTAAACCATCCCACAGAGGATGCAAACCATGGGACATGGGTATGGAACTGCATGGTAAGAATGCAGTTCAATGATCTGAACAGACCTTGTATTCAGCCTTACATTACAATATATTAGTGTTAAGATAGTCTCCCTGAATGAGAATGTTTTAGTACTTCAGTCTTTTACAGAAGGATATGGATTGCGGCACAAAAGACAATTGGGATCTGTGAAGTAAATTTGCCACTGACAAAAATATCTGACACAATATTTAAGTATTTACTGGATTTACAAAAATACTTACATGCTGGTTCTGTATTAAGGAATCAAGCTGGGGTTCACACGGGATATTGAAAACTACACGAATTCTACCTTCTGTGATAACATCACATGAATCCTGCACCTGGTAGAAAACAAAGTAAGTTAATAAACTTAATTCACTTCTCTGCTGGAATAATTGAGGTAAAAACTCTAGACTTATATTTTCTGTGAGAAGCCTAAGCTACATGTGTAAATTCACTGCATAGATTTTATATATATGTATGTATGTATGTATATATGTGTGTGTGTTTGTCTGCCATATATGAGAGAGATGGTAGACAAATACTACCTCTCTCATTTAGAAAAAGAGGTCATTTAAAAACAGACTTGGCACCAGACTTTGGGGTCTATACTCTGTATAGATAAACTGGGCAGTTTATCTGTATAGACCATAGGTCAAGTGTGGGGATGGGCAAAAACACCTTAAAGCTCAACTTTGCCCTCCTCAGATCTTGGTGCAGCTTCTTTACAGGGCCAGTCCTATTGCACTTAGTTAGGACACTATCAGGCTGACTGCAAAGAGCCCCAAAGGAACAAAACCATAGCTGATGATCATGATGTTGATGGGACATTCTGGTTATGCTCCTTTTTCCCTGTTACGTTAGCAACATGGTAGGGGAGAGGCAGGAGCTCACCCAGGTCAACTAAGCCACCAAAGTAAAGTAACCTGGGTTGGTTAGACTGACTCCAGAGCTAGATTCTGCCACACAGCACCAGAGAATCTGGCCCTTGATATTTATAGGCTTGTAAGAAAAGAAATCTTGTAAAAATAAATGTTTGAACTAACTTCTCCTGTGCAGCCATAGTAAGGAGTCCCCAGCATAAAGACTGTGCTTCCAGGAGGAAACAGATCGTCCAAGGTTTTGATGTTGGAGAAACGAGAGTCAAAAGCACTGATATCCTACATGAAATAAGAAGAAAAAATCTATGGTGTTAAAATATCTATCAATCCCAGTATGTTCTTTAAACAGGTCTGCTAAATAGATATTTATTACCAAATATCGAACAATCACTATAAAGTAAACTACAAACTATTTCCTTCATACTAACCTCACTACCTAAAATATACATCAACTCAGTTTTTGAAAGTAATACTGTCAGTGAAATTACATAAAGCTATTGGGCTATATATGGTCCAAGATGACTACTGTATTTTATTCAAAATGTCCTCACAAAAGTTGTGGCAATCAAACTAAAATATGCAGTAGGGTCACAATTTTTGTGACAAGAGCCTTCAGTCTAGCTCCCAACACTTTTGAAATGGGAGTTTAAATGAAAAAATATATACCATTTAATGTTGCTTTTGACAAAGTATATACTTTTTGGACTAGAAAGGCTGCACTATTACCATAAAATTAAGATGCTGATTAACTCTTTTGTTATTTGTCTGTTTTAAAGTATGCATTCTAATCCAGGGGTTCTCAAACTTCATTGCACCTCAACCCCCTTCTGACAACAAAAATTGCTAGACGACTCCAGGAGGGGGGACCGAAGCCTGAGCTCCACCGCTCTTGGTGGGAGGGGGCAAAGTCGAATCCCAAGAGCTTCAGCCCCAGGCGGGGGGCATGTTACCTGAGGAGCCCCCTACACACACACTCAAGGCTCAAGCCCTTGGTCTTCGGCCCCAGGCATTGGGGCTCAGGCTTCAGTCCTGGGCCCCAGCAAGAGGAATGCCACCCCTTGGCCACTTTGGGGTCCCGATCCACAGTTCTAATCCTTTCCTAATAGAAAGGAAAATTTTATAGAAGAAAAGATTAGGAGTATTTGGAATATTTACCTTGACAATAGTTTGGTAAACAAAAGGAAGAACTTGTTTTGACCACTGCTTCTCCAAATAAACTTCACCATTTGGATTTAGCTGATATCTACGACCAGTGAGTAACTGGGCATATACAACTACTGAGGTTTCATTTATAATTATTCCTTTTCTCCTCTGGTAGCTGAAGAAAAAAAAGGAAAACATTTATTTTGATTTAAATACATGGAACTTCCTAACACAAAAAGGAAGTTACTTTTATAGTGGCCTTAACCAATGTATTTAAATCCAAACAGAAATTATTCTTAAAATTATGAATATTTAAATAATTGTTTCCTGTTTATTAAGTAAGAACTATATACAGGTTTAACAACTCTGAGGCTAAAGTGTTATTCTAGATCCTATGTGAGTCATTCACTGTACTACCTGAAAACCTAGAATTATTAGCCCCAAGATATGGGGATAAAATCAGAAAATTTCTTACCAATAATTTCCTTGCTGCTAGCAGCGTCCTCCCACAATTCTTGAAATTTGGGCTACTCTCCTCTCTTTGCAGCTCAGGGAGGTAAATCAGAGTTTTGGAGCCACATGGTCTTGCCACACCCCCTCATCTCCTGCTTGCTTCCAGATGAGTTATTCACAAATTGCAAAACTTGCCACCATCATTAACAAATATTCCAAAGATGACAAAAATAACTACATACATTAGGCCAGGGGTTCTCAAAAACTTCATTGCACTGTGACCCCCTTCTGACAACAAAAATTACTACACGACCCCAGGAGAGGAGACCGAAGCCCAACAGTGCAAGTAGGCCAATACACTCCGGTACGCCGTACCAGCAAGCTATTTATAGCTGGTACGGCATATCGGAAAGACACAGCAGCAGCCCTGCTGGAGGAGAGGGCTGGGGGTTCCGCTCCTTTCCCCGCTGGGAGGGGAAGCGGGAAAAGGAGCAGAATGCCCGGCAGCTCCTCCGGCGGCTGTACCGCTCCCAGCCCTGCCCCCTCAGCCCTGTCCTCCGGCAGGGCTGCTGCTGCAGTACGAGGAAGGATGGAGATGCAGCTCCATGCCTGGAAGGGCAGGGGGCGGGGCTGGGAGTTCTGCTCCTTTCCCCGCTGGGAGGGGCAGCAGCACGGAAAGGAGCAGAAGCTGGCAGCTCCTCCGGCGGCTGTACTGCCCCCCCACCCAAACCCTGCCCCGCGTGCAGCCAGAGGAGGACAGAGCCCAACCCCCCCCCCCCCCCACGGCCCAGGTAACATGGGTTGGATGTGAGGAGGGGACGGAGAGAGCGTGGGGGCTCTGGGGCTTGGGAGTCACATGGATGGTCACGTACCCCCTTAGCTGGTGCCCCCCCGTACCGGTAAGACATGGATTTTACTTGCACCACTGCCAAAGCCTGGTGGGAGGCGAAAGCCAAAGCCCGAGCCCCACCGCCCCAGGCGACGAGACCAAAGCCCAAGGGCTTCAACCCCTCAGGCTTCGGCCCCCGGCAGTGGGGCTCGGGCTTCAGCTCTGGCTCCAAGCCCCAGCAAGTCTAAGCCAGCCCTGGTGACCCCATTAAAATGGGGTTGCGACCCACTTTGGGGTCCCGACCCACAATTTGAGAATCGCTGCATTAGACAAAGAAAGACTATCATATGGTAATGATTCCACTTAATAACTGACCCTTGACTGGTGAGCCATCCAGGATGGGTAGAATTGTGGGAGATTCTGCTAGTGGAAAGGAAATTGTTGGTAAGAAATTTTCTGTTTTGCAGCCCAGCATCTCCCACAATTCTTGACGGCTGAGAAGCAGCGAGCAGATGTAAGGAGGCAACAGAAAAGGTCAGAAAAAAGAAAAAACATATCTCTTCCCATCTATAATATTTACTCAAAGGGCAAAATCATTTCCAGGCCACTGCCTACAGCACCTTCCTGCCAAAGGACGCCGCTGCAGAGGACAGGAAGTCCCCCTTCTAGTGCTTGATAAAGGAGGCAGCATTTGACCAGGTGGCTGCCTTACAAATTTCTGCTGTGGTTGCATTAGCTTTCTGTCCACAAGTTTGCCAGGGATTGCATAGAGCCTGCCCTGACCCCTTCTGGAACTAGAATCCCTGATGCCTAGTATGCTTCCACAATGCATAATCTAATCCACCTAGCAACAGAATACATGGCATCTCTGAGACCTTGGTGTTTCGGATAGAAGGATACAAACAGGGCCCCTGATCTCCTTGTGGACTTTGAACGTTTGAGGTAAATTTTCAGAGCCCTTCTGACTTCTAAGGTGTGCCACCCTCTCCTAAGTGGGATGTTGTGGCCTTGGAAAGAATGAAGGGAGAACCACTCTTGAGAAGCATGGAAAGAAGAGTTCACTTTTGGGATAAATGATTCCAGAGTTCTGAGCACCATCTTGTACTCAAGAAACATGGAGTAAAGTTCCTGCATAGAGAGCGCCAACAGCTCCAACATTTGTTTGGTGGACACGATGGTAACAGAAAGCAAGTTCTAATGGATAAAGAAAATGCTGACACTGTCGTCAGTGGTTCAAAGGGATGGTTTGTCAGGGCTCTCAACATAAGTGGCCCACTTGGGAAAATGAGGTCTAATAGCCAGCTTGGCTAACTGGACTGCCCTAAGGAATCTGGCTACCTAGAGGTTCTCTGCCAGAGAACCTACAGATTCTGCAAATATCATGCTACTAAGGGCAGACACCTGATGCACAATGGTGCTGGATTGAAGACCTTTGTCAAAGCCTTCTTGGAGAAAATCCAAGATAGCCAGAATTCGTGGATTTCTTAGATTTTCTTCGTGTTCCTGGCACCAGCTGCAAAACTTGGTCCAGATAAAGGAGTATACTTTCAATACTCTTCTAGAAGTAAGAAGCGTTCTGATAACTTTGGAGAACAGCCCAGTGAGACCAGCGCTTCCCTTTCAATAGCCAGACTGTTAGATGCAGCCAGTTCAGGTCGAGATAAAATACAGGACCTTGTGAGGAAGTGCCCCATCTCTTCATAACCTGTATTGGTGAGCCCAATTTCAGCTTTACCAGGTCCAAAAACTAAGTCTCCTCGGCCAATGTGGTATTACAAATATTACTGTTGCCTATTCCTGATTTATTTTCTGGACTGCCTTCCCTAGTAACGGGAAGGGTGGAAATGCATAAAGGAGGCCTTGTGACCGTCTACATGATAAGGCATCTGTCCCCATGGATCTAGTGTCCACTTTCCTGGTGAAGTACTTTGATCTCTTTGTGGGTATGTGATTTGCAAATATGTCAGTTGAGGACAGACCGAATTATTTGATGATTAACTCTAAGTCCCCACATTGGCGAGGAGACCCAGTTTTTTGACCTGATAAAGCTGAAATTGGGCTCATCATTACAGGTTCCGAAGAGATAGGACCTCTCCTCACAAGGTCCTGTGCTTCATCCAGACCTGAACTGGTTTCATCTAACAGCCTGGCTATTGAGAGGGAAGCACTGGTATCATTGGGTCTGTTCTCCAAAGTTATCAGAACGCTTCTTACTTCTAGAAGAGTATTGAAAATAAATGCCTCTATCTGGACCAAATTTTGCAGCTGGTGCCAGAAACACAAATCAAATCCAAGAAATGCAGGAATTCTGGCCATGTTGGATTCAGGTACCACTCAGAGTTGTTCACTTTGTGCCTGCTAAGCAAGTACATCATCTGGTTCAGGTCTCCCTTTATGTGAACTTCCCCGAGGGAGAGGAGAGACTGCCCTGCCCACTGCATGATTTGCATTGCTTCAGCATGTAGCGCTGGGCTTCTTATTCTCCCTTGGTTGTTCACATACGCAACCATGGTTGTGTTTTCTGACTGAATCAGAATGTGGTTCCCCTTTAGGCCAAACTGGAAGCTTCATACCACCAGCTTGACTGCTCTTAGTTAGGAAGTTTATGATGTGGGTTCTTTCTCCAGGTTCCAGACACCTTCAGTTATTTGGGATCTCAGGCATGCCCCCCCCCAGCCAGTCCTCCACCAGGCTGATATTAGTTGTGAGGATCGGGGGATCAGGAAGGCATATGGGCATGTCCTTGTAGACATTGCCCTGGGCAGACCACTATTTTAAAGAGTTGATTTCCAGCACTGAAATATCACTTATTCTTGCATGCATTCTGGGAAGTAGTCCCATACTTTTAAGATGCAGCCTTAAAGATGCCTGATGTGTGACTATGCCCATGGAATGATCCCTATGCACAATACTAGGAGGCCTACCGTTGAAGGCTCAAGTGCAGTTCCAAAACAATGAGAGGAGATCTTGAAGCTTCTGGAACCTCTAGAGATAGACATATTCTTGCTAACGAGTTGTCTATGTCCACTCCCAAGTGAGTTATTTGGGTGGATGGAATCAAGGAGCTCTTCTCAATGCTGATAATAAAGCCATGTGCTTGCAAGAGATTCAAGGTCAGGGACGTAGCTCTGTGTGCTGTTGCTTAAGGTGGAGCTCTGATGAATATGTCATGCAAGAAGGATCCCCTGTGTCTGGGTATGATTACCACCAACTTCTTTGTGAAGACTGGGAAGGAGAGAGGGGGCCTGAGGACAAGCCGAATGGCAGCATTCAATATTGATGCTGCTTCCTGCTATAGGGAAACCTTAGGAACCTGCGATGGCACAGTCTGACTGGGATTTGGAGGTATGCATCCACCAGATTCACTGAAGTCAGAAAATCCCCCTGGGACAGGGATAACACCATAGAGATTAGGATTTCCATCCAGAAAAGACGGTTACTCACCGTTGTAATAGCTGCGTGCACGT